CATTTCAAATGGCCGAACTTTCTTGTCAAACGGCAGAACTCCCTTTCAAATAGCGCAATTTCTTTTCAAATAGCAGAACTTCCTTTTCAAATAGCGCAGCACTCCTTTCAAATAGCAGAACTTCCTTTTCAAATAGCGATCTTCTTTTCAAATAGCAGAACTCCCTTTTCAAATAGCGGAGCATTCTTTTGAAAAAGCAGAACTCCCATTTCAAATTGCTGAACTTTCTTTTCAAATAGCAGGACTCCCTTTTCAAATAGCGGAGCATTCTTTTGAATAGCAGAACTCCATGTTCAAATAGCAGAGCATTCTTTTCAAATAGCAGAAATCCCTATTCAAATAGCGGAACGTCCTCTTCAAGTAGCAGAACTATCTTTTCAAATAGCAGAACTCCATTTTCAAATAGCGAAGCATTCTCTTCAAATAGCAGAACTCCCTTTTCAAAAAACGGAGCATTCTTTTCAAATAGCAGAACTCCCTTTTCAAATAGCGGAACTTTCATTTCAAATAGCAGAACTCCCTTTTCAAATAGCGGAATTTGTTTTCAAATAGCAGAACTCCCTTTTCAAATAGCGGAGAATTCTTTTCAAATAGCAGAACTCCCTATCCAAATAGCGGAGCATTCTTTTCAAATAGCAGAACCACCTTTTCAAATAGCGGAGCATTCTTTTCAAATAGCAGAACCCCTTTTCAAATAGCGGAACTTTCTTTTCAAATTGCAGAACTGCCTTTTCAAAGAGCGGAGTATCCTCTTCAAATAGCAGAACTTTCATTTCAAATAGCGGAACTTTCTTTTCAAACGGCAGAACTCCCTTTTCAAATAGCGGATTTCTCTCCAAATAGCAGAACTCCCTTTTCAAATAGCGGAGCATTCTTTCCAAATAGCAGAACTCCCTTTTCAAATAGCGACCTTCTTTTCAAATAGCAGAACTCCCTTTTCAAATAGCGGAGCATTCTTTTCAAATAGCAGAACTCCCTTTTCAAAAAGCGGAGCATTCTTTTCAAATAGCGGAACTCCCTTTTCAAATAGCGGAGCATTCTTTTCAAATAGCAGAACTCCCTTTTCAAATAGCGGAACTTTGATTTCAAATAGCAGAACTCCCTTTTCAAATAGCGGAATTTGTTTTCAAATAGCAGAACTCCCTTTGCAAATAGCGGAGAATTCTTTTCAAATAGCGGAACTCCCGTTTCAAATAGCGGAACTTTCATTTCAATTAGCAGAAATCCCTTTTCAAATAGCGGAATTCTTTTCAAATAAGCAGAACCACCTTTTCAAATAGCGGAACTTTCTTTTCAAATAGCAGAACTCTCTTTTCAAATAGCAGAACTCAATTTTCAAATAGCGGTGCATTCTTTTCCAATAGCAGAACTTTCTTTTCAAA